CTAAGTCGAGAGAAAGTTTTAATAAAACCCTTTATTTATTATGATAACGTTTCTTTAGAATGTTTTATTTACCTATATGAATTCTAATTAGCGCATTGTATAGTTATTTCGATATTATCCTTCGTAAATCTGTTTAATTAGGTACTTTATTGCTACAGACGAAAGGCCAAGGAATTATCACCGTGGGTGGCATAGATATTAATGTAAATTAAAGTAAATATTGTACGATAAGTAAATAGTAATTGATCATTCATTATAATGAGATATAATACAAGTAATTGTGATTTGTATAACAATAATCTTCATAGGACACACACATTGTGTTTATAGATCTAACATTTTATTAGTGACTAGCTGTTGCCCGCGACTTTGTCCGCATAGAATTTAAATTTTGGGAAATAACTTTTATTTGTTTCAGTTTTTAAAAAATATGTTACTTCTTAGTACGTTAGCTATTTGCCAATAGAAGTCCCGTCAAAATTGGTTCAGCCATTCCAGAGATTAGCCAGTATAAACAGACAGACAGACAAAAATTATATAAAAAAATATTTACTTAAAATATTGCTGTTTAAATATTGTAATATATTAGATAATAATAAAAGTAAAACTGGTGAAAATAAGAGGTAAATAATATTCATGAAAAATTTGAAGTAAATCCATACAGTCCTTTTTGAGTTTAGCCCGGACATGCATATAGACAAACAGACAAAAATTCTACAAACTATATTTTAGTTCCGATATAGATTGTAAATGACTTGTGAAGTATTCTTCAAGCAAAAAAAAATCTACAGCTTTGACTTTCCTACGATTTTGTTGTATTATGTATAGATATAATCTAATAGTCACGTGTTGAAGCAGTTCCAGATAGAATTATCCCACGGACCAAAGTACCGATGATATAAAATATTCACCCTTCTACCAAAAGAGGCCAGACGGTACAATTGAGCCGTCAAGTGTCAGTATTCATTCATCAAAATTCAAATAGCTTCTATCTAGTCAATTATTTAATTTAGATCTACTCGGTCTGGGAAAGTGAGTGTATGGTTATAGGACAGTTGCAAGTTGCGACTGAAGATAGGATTTGTAACTCGGATAAAGTGCTATTGAGTGTTTTGACTTCTGAATGACTGTATATACGTTAAACCACTTA